ATTGTATGATTTCATTTGTATGAAACATTCAGAATAGGCCAGTCCATAGAGAAAGCAGATTAGTGGTTACCAGGGACTTGGGGAGGAATGGGGAGTGACTGCTTAGTGGGTACAGGGTTTCCTTTTGCAGAGATGAAAATGTTCTGAACTAGATAATGGTGATGGTTGCACATTATTATGAATGTTCTAAAAGCCACTGAATTGTACCCTCTTAAATGTTTAAAATGGTAAATTTTGTGTTAAATGTATTTTATCACAATAAAAAAATATTGCTGTGGTGATATTTTATGTCAGTATTGTATTTTGGTTTCTGATCGCTCAAGTTAGTAACTATTTAAAAACTTAATCTTCTCTGTTATGTTTTATTTAGGTAAAATGATCCATTCTATGGTAGCTCATTTGGATGCTGTTACAAGTCTAGCAGTAGATCCTAATGGAATCTACTTGATGTCTGGAAGTAAGTCTGAACTTCCTGTACTGCCCACAAATTTTATAATAGAACGGTTACTCAGTAACATTTTTCATTTATTCTTTTACAGGCCATGACTGTTCTATTAGATTGTGGAATTTGGACAGCAAGACATGTGTGCAAGAAATAACAGCACATAGGAAAAAATTAGATGAATCAATTTATGATGTTGCTTTCCATCCATCAAAAGCATATATTGCTAGTGCGGGGGCTGATGCCCTTGCCAAAGTATTTGTGTGAATCAACAAAAACTCATCATAACAACAGATTCGCTTGGACACAGAGGGTCTGCATCACTGCCATCAAAAATGTTACTGATATGACACTACATGTGATCTGCCTGATGAAGGCTATATTTGGGGCAGGCATAAATTGGTGGAAATCACATCTTAACATCAGGCTCATTAATTTAATTGTAATTACTGTATTTCGTGGGACAAAAAAAGGACTCCATTATTTGTGGCCTGTACTGGATATGAACTGAGCGTATGTCTGTCTTTTAGGTATCTTTAAGCCAGTGTGGAGTCTGATCTTACAAAAAGACTTTTATTTTGGACTCTGTGTGCTGCCTTAGGGTTAGGAATGTGGTGCTCTTGTTGGGGGGAAGTGAGCTCCAAGAGTAGCTTTTTTTCATCTCTTAGTGATCTTCTGTTTATCAGTTGAACGCCACAGATTCCCTTTTAAACTTATTTTGCTTTAAAAAAAATAAAAAAGAAAATTTAACTTAAAATATTTTAGCATTAGTTGCACAAAATGTTTGGATAAAATTCTAGTTTTTATAAGTCTTTTTATATATTTAGCCTGTCACAACAGTGCTCAAGATTGTATTGAAGTTTTTCTGCATTATACAACCCTGAAACACAGAGATCTCACTGACCCACTGCCGTGTAAGCACACTCTTTCCTTCTTTTGCGTAGTACAGCTCAGCTAAGTCTTTCCATAAAGATGCTAAATCACCTTCAACATCACATAACTGTCTTCTTAAACCAAGGACTATTAAGTGTATTAAAATGAAACGGTGGGGTTTAGTACTCCAAATGAACTCTTAAAAAAGAAAAAAAAAAAAACTAATCTTGGCATCCTATCACTATGTGATATTTTGTACATCTTACTGTATTTACAAGTTTATTTATCAAGGATTATCCATCTTGCTAATAGCCTATTATTTATTTCACTTTTTGTTGGTCTTTATATCCTTTTATTAATGTGCTAAAGGAACCTGTATATCTATTTTGGAACTCTTTGAATAGTCTAAAATAGACTAAAAATGGAGTATTTTATAGTTTAAGTTACAAACCAAGGTGACTCCCCCCAGTTACATATCTTGGTTTACCATGATTCCAGAGAAAACTATCTTGTTTTAAAATATTTGGAGTAAAATTTTATTTGCATTACAAATAGGATACAAAAATAGTTGAATCAGGATACAGAAATCTGCTGTGTTTGGACTAGTTATCCCTGTTTTATTTTTTCAGATGTGCTTAATTTTATGGTGTAACTAAAGATTTTGTTTGTGTAATGCATGATTAAGACAATAAAGTATTTTTTCTAGTCTTCCAAAAAACTTTTCTGATCAGTTTGCGAGTTTTGATGAGTTTTGTAAGGTTTTTGTTTTACAAACTATGAATCAGCAAATTTTTAAGATTGTACCACATAGCGAACGTACAGCTGTTGAAAAATAATGTATATAAAATGCATATAATAAATATTAAATTGTGTACCTGTATGTTACTGTTGGCTACATTATTTTGTGTTGAATAATAAAGTGCAATACTTTACTCTCCATTAAAGTAGGAAATGGAGATGATTTCTCAGTGAGTCCTTCATTTTTATGCTGTTCTTTTAAACTTTGTACTGTTTATTGATATTCTAATAAGATTAGAACAGTTAATACTGTTAAGAATGCCTTTCTAAGTATTTCACCCAATTTGGGGATTTAAAAATCTTCTATTGAAGTAAGTTAGATAAATCAAAATAACCAAAAAACAAAACCAGCAGATATGCAGTTTTAAATCATTTCCTTAAGATACCCTATTACTTTATTAAATCTGAATTTCAATTAATAGTGTTGTCTTTCCTATCTAGCCAAACCTGTTTCCCACAGAAAAGTTCAGCAGAGAATAAACATTGCATTGTTCATTAATTAAAAGTTATCCTCATAAATGTTAAGTATTAATATCTTCAAACTTTTCCTTCAACAAGGTAATAATCCTTTTTCTTTGAAGGGAATTGCAAATGCAATTAGAAACTTAACGTGGCAAAATTCTATTTGAATGCCTACTTCAAAAAAAAGAAAATTACATTGTATGTACATTGAGAAATTCTGTCACCTACCATAAAAATCGAAATGTCAATTTTAGTCATGCTGGTGAAACACTAAAAGGTTTCAGAAATTTTCTTAAAGTATTGTTTTTTTGGTTTTCTGAATTGAACATTCAACTTAATGAATAAATTAAAGAGGCATTTTCTCTTCCTTTTTTTTTTTTTTTAATACTTTAGGAACAAGCTTTCCAAAGCTAGTATTGTTTCTGGCAGCTGTTCCAAGCCAATGCATTACTGTTGAACTGAAATGTGATTATCATCATTGCAATGCATAAACATTCATCTTTTTTGAAATGTATTAAAACTGAAATGAATAAAAATAGTATATATGTTTATTTTTATCTACTTTGGTTGTATTTTCTCTACAATATTAAACATTTGGAAGAGACTAAAAGGATGCAAAAAGAATATCTTATTTGTGTGCTTCCATTTGTGACTTAATGGGAAATTATGTAGATTCATTTGACTATTAAATGGTGCTTTATACATAAAGTTTGAGTATTTTTATATACAAACTTTTTAATATGTCGACTTTCCCAATATTTAATCATATTCTGCTCTTTTCATATTTATTCATGTACTTTTTCCATATTTCAAAGAAGACCAACATCTCATTTAATGCATTAAGGCTTATAAATAGGCTAGCATAACAAATTTAGGCATGCTTGCAAAGTTGAATTATATCTTTTAAAAAATCCTTTTACTCTGTTTTTAGTTGTTAACTCTATCTTGATTATGTTTAGTTTTAAAAAATAATTAACAGTAACTTAAATATAAAGTGTTCACTTCTACTCTCTTGCTGCTCTTTAAGTCAAAATATTAGCTTCCCTGGTTACCTCAAAACTTTGTTCTTTATAAAATTTTTTAAAGAGCTAATGACTAGAGGCTGGGTTTTCATTTAATTTTTTAAGGAGTGGTATTCTCAGCTGAAAGTTGTCTATTTATTGGGAAAAAAACATGTTAAACCCGTTTGTGTTGTTAAAATTCTCCTCGTTACATGAATCGGTCATATTTGTAGCTTTATAAAGGGTGGGGGCAGTGGCGGTCAGGGGAGTCATGACTTCCCATATTCTCTTTGGTCAAATTTTTATGTAGTGTCAAAGGCAATTTCGGTTCTGCTCTCTGATACGTAAGCTTTTACACAAGCTATAAAATTGTTAAACTCAAAAGATTTGTTGGAGTATAAATTTTCCAGTTAACACCTTTTTCAGGTCAACTGGTTGTAAACCATTTCAGATAGGATCAGTGTATGTGTGATGGGAAATAGAGTGTGCAGATGAATGAGAGGATAGATCCTGTCCTTAGAGAAGACAGGCAGGATAAGGTATGACAGCACTTCCGTCGGAGAAGAGAGTTCTTGGTGAGGTAATGATAGTTACATAAAGGGAGTTTTGATCACTTTTCTTAGGAACCAACTTCACTTTGATCACTTTTCTTAGGAACCAACTGTTTAAGTAAAAATACTATTAATTACAAAACAACTTTGTTGAACCAAGTAATCAACTGTTTAACCTGGTACTGGCTGTGCATAATGCCTAAAACAGTAGGCATTCAATAAGTAATTGGAACAGAAAATAAATATATTTAGTCTTATTGCATGATTTTAAGAAAAAAACTCGGTCTTTCCACACGAAGTGGTTAATGTGTCAATAGAATTTTTACCATGCCCTAGGGGGAGACACTTGGAATAATAAGTAAGGGACCTTAGAATAATAGTCACTAGCAGTTTTTTTGCTTAAATAGTCAAAGTAGAATATTCTTTCCTGCAGTTCTCCTCTTTGAAAGGTGTGCTTTTCTTTAAAGCTAAGTGTTTAAAAGTGGTAAGTAAAATTTTACCAACTTAATATTTTTTTCAATACATGGTTGACTTTTAGAGTATAAGCCAAATACATAAATACACATAAAATTAAGGCTATAAATAGAAAAATACCAGGCAATTCTTCAGTCTTGTTCAGTGTGATATTTGTTGTTATTATGAAAGTACACTACAAAAGAGGCTTGATACCTAAATCGCTTCCATTTCGTCTGTAATTATAACTTTTAGTATGTTAAGTAACTTTAGTATGTTAAGTAAGATCTTAAAATCAGATTGTTGACTGGTTTTAAGACAACATCTGCTTGGGTCAATATATATTTGAACTAAGTTGAGCTGTTTTCTGTTTGTTTCTCATTTTCCTTATATGTGTAATACAGAATTAGAGAAGGAATGTTGCTTTTGGTCTAAATATCAGCTGCTTTTATTGAGCTATAGAATTTGCATATCTATACATTTAATATGCATGTTAAAATAGAACTCTTAAAATTACAATCTACGGTATCTCCTCTTTCCTGAGTTTCTAAGGTTCGTGATTATGAAGCCTCAGCAGAGTGTTTTGAACAATGGAGTCTGAACTGTAATTAGAAGGCAACTTTAAATGAATGCTTACTTGCTTACATTTTTGCCATCTTTAGTATAATAGTTTTGTGTCTGATCTTAGTATGCTATATAGTATTTCAGTATTACTAAAAACAACTTATACATCCCCTTGCACTTTTTCTTTCAGTTGTCAAAATGTCACCATTATTGCTGGGATTCTAAGAAATCTCTACAGATGCCTCTGATGACATCAGAAACGATTGGTTCTAATCCTGTGAACTCTCTTGTGAAGAAAACATGCGACTCCTTTGGTTTAGAGGCCATATCTTTCAGGTCATCCAGAGGTGCCCAAGCCACACCAACAGAGAAGATGGTGATACCTACAATAGAAGTATTTTTAAGTCAATTAAAACCAAGTTCCAGCTTATGTATAAAATTATGTGTATATATTTTTCACACATTAGTACATAGTTGCAGACAAAACTGCCTTGTAATGCCTGAAGAACTAAATCCCCTGTACCAAATTGTTGGGCTGGTTTTAGCAGTAATCGTGATGAGAGTGGCTAAACAGTTGGGTCAAAACCACAGGTTTTGCCATCAGTGCAGTTTACCACCTTAACAGATAAGTCATATGATCGCTGAAAGAAAAAAATAATTTGATAAAGTTCAACATCCATTCATGATAGTACACAGTAAGCTAGAAGGAGAAGGAAGCTTTCTTAACCTGATAATACCTAAAGACAAATAAGAACAAACCCTACAGCAAACATACTTAGTGAAATGGTGAAAACTACTCAGAGTTTGGCATGAGGAAGGACAACCTGCTATCATCACAATTAATTGTTATACTGGAGTCATAGCCAGTATAATAGAGCAAGAAAAAATGACACAGAAGATGGGATATATAAATGATGAAAGTTTCTAAGGCTCTTGCCTTGTCTGGGGAACGGTGACAAGTCTTCTGTGAGTGATAATTGTTTCTCCCATTTCATTATGTGTTGCATTAGCAAACTGGCCAATAGTAAGAAATTGACAGGGACTTCTCTGGTGGCGCAGTAGTTAGGAATCTGCCTGCCAATGCAGGGAACACTGGTTCAAGCCCTGGTCCGGGAAGATCCCACATGCCGCGGAGCAACTAAGTCTGTGTGCCACAACTACTCAGCCTGTGCTCTAGAGCCCACGAGCCACAACTGCTGAGGGCCACGTGCCTAGAGCCCATGCTCCGCAACGAGAAGCCACTGCAATGAGAAGCCCACGCACTCTGTAGCATAGAGTAGACCCCACTCGCAGCAACTAAACAAAGCCCGCAAACAGCAGTGAAGACCCAATGTGGCCAAAAATAAAGTTATTTTTTAAAAAAATTGACAGTCTTTAATCCCAAAGCAAAAGTTTTCTGATGATGAAAACAGCCAGGGACTTCCTGGCAGTCCAGTGGTTAAGACTCCATGCTTCCACTGTAGGGGGCAGGGGTTTGATTTCTGGTTGGGGAACTAAGATCCTGCATGCTGCACAGCGCAGCCAAAATAAAGTAACAAAAACCGCCAAAAAATGTCTATGAAGTGTAGACTACCATCTATGTACTGGAGGAAATCCCACATGAAATTTTTAGAATTTCTGAAATAGTTACTCCCTTCTATCCAAAGCTTCATCACCCTTCTAGTGGTATACAGTGATCAGAGTTGTGAATACTTAAGACATAAATAAAGCAGGTTTTGATGATGTAAAAGCTACTTGAAACAATTACTGATTTATCATCACCAGCTAATCCTCCCCTCTCCCTGGCGAAAGAAGTCAAAAAAATTTCTCCCCTTCAGTTTTCTTCACTTTTAATTTTACATTCAAGCTCAGATTGTCAAGCTCAGGCCCAGTTTATAATTACAGTTAAAAAATCAAAACAGCTGTGCCCTAGCCCTGAACACCTATCCTATCTTCTGGCTTTTGTTAACTTTCACTTCGCTATCACTAAAGGATAACTTTCATGAAAATAGTGCGGCCCAACCTCCTGAAGTTCAATTAATCACATAGGGAGAATATATTTGAATTTATTTCGTTCACTTTATGTAGCCTTAATCCAATCCTGTTAACCATAAATTCAGTAAGCTACACTTTTAAGGAGTATGATAGCAAAAAGGTCTTCAACATAAGTTAGTTGAAGAATACATTAAGACAGATGTATAAAAATAAGCCATTGTATATATAGCTTAAATTGCAGGTATCCATTCTCTATTCTACTTAATAAAAACAGTATTCCATCAATACCTATAAAAGGACACAAGTGCACTAGCAGAGGTGCTAATAAATGTATAAAAGCAAAAGTCATTAGGAATTAAATAGGGAAAAGGAAGTACAGAGGAGTATAGAAAAATGTAAGGCTCTTCATTCTCCCCCTCCCAAGTTAGCATTTTTGTTTTTTTAAATATTATTGGGCTTCCCTGGTGGCGCAGTGGTTGGGAGTCCGCCTGCTGATGCAGAGGACACGGGTTCGTGCCCCGGTCTGGGAGCATCCCACATGCCACGGAGTGGCTGGGCCCGTGGGCCATGGCCGCTGAGCCTGCGCGTCCGGAGCCTGTGCTCCGCAATGGGAGAGGCCACAGCGGTGAGAGGCCCGCGTACCGCAAAAAAATATATATATATATATTTATATTTATATATAAATATATTTTATATATATTATATATAATATATATATATTATATATATAATTGGACTCCCAATCATTCCGTTTTTATCCCAGGAAAGGGAACCTCAGCTTTTTCTTGGCCTGTTGATCTCAGCAACACACATGCTAATCTCTTCAGGAACTAGTGGCCTTTACCAAAGGTAATATTAAGGTTGGGGTAAGAGAAAGAACCTTTTTATACCCTTTTATAAGTGTTTCATTATCTCAAGGGGGATAAAAGACACTGAAAAGGAAATCTAAGTGGAATAGGCTTAAAGTCTTAATTGGTGATCTTAGAAAACTCATGGCAGACTGAAAACTACTAAAAAAAAGGATAAATTATCAAATAGCAGATTCATAGTAAGTTATGATAAACTGTAATTGAGGGGTTATATATTCCAAGTTTGAGCCAAACATGAACACCTGTAACATTCCCTTGACATATGACAGCTCTCATGGCAATTCTCCCCAAAATGCAGTGGTTAGGTAAGGATTCAGCCACACTTACCTGGGTTTTGTTTTGGGTTTTTTTAGAGGATTACAAAATCCTTATTTTTTACTTTTTTGGCCACATCACACAGCATGGGGGATCTTAGCTCCCCGACCAGGGATCGAACCCACACTCCCTGCAGTGGAAGTGCAGAGCCTTAACCACTGGCCTACCAGGGAAGTCCCTGCCTGGATTTTAATACTGGCCTCACCACTTACTAGGTGTGTGATTTGGGAAAGTCTGTTTCCTTATCTGTAGAATAAGATTTAGTAGGGCTGCTTTGACAATTAAATCAGTTAATACTGGGTAAAACTCTTAGAACAATGACTGCCATCCTATAGATGTTTGTTCAATCAAACAAACACTTAAGTTTATATTTACTCCTAAAATTCACTGAACCTCTCCCCAGTTCCCTTCCCAGACAAAGGACAAGGACCTTACCTGCATCATGTGCAGCAGCAGCAGGCCCTCGAACATCATCATAGGACTGCCCATCTGTGACAATTACCAGGAAGTTCTTGTTGGGGCTGTCCCTCATGGGACCAAACACATTTCTAACAGTAAAGGAAATGGCATCACCAGTAGCTGTCCCACCACTCATATAGCGGATGTTTCTGATAACGGCTAGGACATTCTCTTTGGTGCTATAGTCAGTGAAACTGAATTCTGTGCGCTGATCGTAGGTGAACTGTACTGCAGCTATCTTGGCACCAATGTCTGAGATTTCAAAAATCTTAGCTATGTTGGAAATAAATTCAAGAATGAGGCGGAAATTACTTTCTCCAACACTACTGGAGCCATCAATTAGAAAGGCAATGTTCACTGAGTTGTAACAGGTCTTGCTGCACACCATTTGCTCATGAGTGCAGAGCTTCTGTACCAGAGGTTTTACGTATTTTGTGGTGCCAAACCAATTGGGCATGTAGTAAGAGAAGAAGCCATTACTCCGACAGACAGCCTAATGGGAGAGACACATAAAAGATAACCAAAGGAATCAAAAGTTGTTTCTTTAAAATTATGAAAACATTAAATCTTGAATCTTCAAAGTTAACCCAGATATGGTCCAGTCAGCACTACGCCTAGAGGTCCCAAACTGAATCACTACTATAACAGAAGACACTCTCAACTCCTTACCTTGTCAACAAATGCAACATCCGGAACCATTCCCAGTTCCTCAGGGATAGGCTTAGCCACAGAAACTATAAATACATTGACACCAAACTCTCTGGCCACAATGCCTGCTTCCTCAATGTCATCAGAAGGCCAGCCATCAATGAATACCACCACCACTTTGGGAATCCCTTTTCTCGCTCCAGTGTCTGCTGTGAAGAATTTCTGGGCGGTGTGCTTCAAGGCTTTTCCTAGGTTTGAAAAAGAAGCAAACTGGAATGGCACCACTGCTTAAAATGACACTTCTATTTCCCTGTATGAACTTGATGCCTCCAAGTTTAAGAATTTAACACATATAGAACTCAGTTCTTTAACACGTGCATCAGATGGGAAAGTTTAATTATCCATCATGCCTATTTTTTGTCTTCACAACCCACATTTCTTCCATCACCTACCCCCCAGAGCATTACATTTCCTTTCCTTACATCAATCACCAGTCAGAAACATAAACCTGACTCCCACTTCTGTACTTGTGCTCTCTATCTAGCCCCTTAGTGACTGACGAGTACCTCTACGGGCTCAGAACAAGAAGTCTCCCCTCAGAAGGTCCAGCATTCTATTTTAGTTCTTTCTGTCACATCTGCATTCATTAGATGAGTCTGTTGATCTTTGCTTCTTTTAAATATTCTAAACAGGTACTTTTCTAAAGTGACATCTGCCCTACCTGAGGATTATAAGTCACAACGTCTTATATTTTTTAAAATGAGCAATACCAATAAACCCTTTGGTACATTTTCCATTATAAATTAAATATCTCAGATATCAAGTGCAGACCTAACCAAGATCAGTGCCAGGAAGAAGAGTTTCACTTCTGCTTATATAAAATAGCATAATACTGTCTTACATGTCTGATCATTCATAACCCTCTCTGTGTTACATCCCAGATGCCGAAGTCTACTTACCTGTATTGGTATTACCCCCTCTGAAACCTACTTCCTTTATGGCAAACAAAACATCTTTGGCTGATGTAAAGTTTTTCAAGTAAAATTCTATTTTGGGATGTTCACTAGGCAAAAAAGGGAAAAAATGTTATCCAGGGAAAATTGGAAATGTAAAACAAACAAGCAATATTATATACCTTAAAAAAAGTCTTTAAATTGGACAATACCTAAGTTTCTTAATTCCACAGCATAGCCAACTAGGGTATATTGCATCCTTACTTGAATTTTTAGGGTTCTTTCAAAAAATGTAACAAAAACAACTGCTACCTTGAGGGTTTATTGTATTCTGGGTAATATGCTAAATACATACTACATGTATAATCTCATTTCATCATAACTGTACAAGGTAGGAATTATTATCCCTATTACATAAATGGAGGCCCAGAACACCTAGGTAATTTACCCAACAAAACATAACCACATTTTAAATTCAGGTTTGTCTGGCTCCTAAACTATATGAAGCACCTGAAACTGGGTGGCTCAGGGCACTGGGCTTAATGGAAATCTGCAGAGATGGGCACCAGATAGTTGGAACATAGCTGGGTGTGAGTCTAGGTCTGCTCCAGTGGGGGACCTTGGAAGCCCTGAATAGTCTGGGTCTATTAACCCAGGTCTCTGGTCAGAAGAGGCAATTTCAGTGACACTAAGGCCAACATTTTTAAAATGAGAAAACTTACAAGGAAACAAATTATAAAGTATTATAATATTGAATTTTTCTTATGATAAATGATATTGACATTTGCTAATCTTACAATTATGTGTATTTTAATAGATTTGGGATTTTTCATATTTAATAGTAAAAGAATTTCAGCTTTTATAACTTACTCTGTGTTCATTAGAGACCATGTTGAGTGAAAACAATTAGTTAAAGCACAATTTTTGTGTTTAAAACTTTTAGATAAGTCAAAATTTCATCAGTGCAAAATTTTAAGATCTTAGCATTATCAATTGCCACTAAGTCAAGATTTCTGAAGGAAATAGCACTCATTGTATTTCTGCATACCTGGTGGCATGATTTCTATATACTTGGTGGTTGGGTCACAAAATCAGTTTTCATGAGTCGATAATCTTTTCATTTTTATGGTCACTTTTCAACTATCCAAATTATTATTTATGAGATTTAGTCTTAGTTTTGCATCCTTAATGAGATATTCTCTTATTCTACTTAAATATAAACTCTTGACATAGTTTATCTATTCTAATGTTCTTCCTAAAATAGAAAAATCATAAATCAGGACGTTTATAAAGAAGCTAGTCTTTGTATGCGTCTACAAAGTAGTGTAGCTTTCCTCTTGAAAAAGAGTTAGGTAAAAACAGCAAAGAAAAAATATTAGAAGAAAAATATTGAGGGGAATTTGCCCTATGAGATGTTAAAATATACAATAAAGCTACAATAATCAAAGCATTGTAGAAAAGATGTTAGAATTAACATATGGATCAAAGAAACATTTGTCTAAAGTTATAAATTGATATCACAAATGAATGGAATAAGAAGCTCATTTTTTTAAGATATGGGACAATGGTTAAATTATGTATAAATCAACAAAGTTAATGATTCTTACACCAAAAAAAATTCTAAGAACCAATTGTAAAAAACAAGATAAGAACAAATATAAATATTTGTAATCCTACTTGTGACACCCTTACACACAGCTGATAGTAGTTTAAACTGAATCAACTTTCTAGAAAGCAATTTAACTGTTTATTTCAGAAGCCTTAAAAATGTCAGAACCCGGGCTTCCCTGGTGGCGCAGTGGTTGAGAGTCCGCCTGCCGATGTAGGGGACACGGGTTCGTGCCCCGGACCGGGAAGATCCCACATGCCACAGAGCGGCTAGGCCCTTGAGCCATGACCGCTGAGCCTGTGCGTCCGGAGCCTGTGCTCCGCAACGGGAGAGGCCACAACAGTGAGAGGCCCGCGTACCGCAAAAAAAAAAAAAAAAAAATGTCAGAACCCTTTGACCCAATCTCACTTCTGGGAATCTAGCCGAATGAATTTATCAGAGATGGCACAAGGATGACATAAGGATGCACAGTGTAATTGTGAAAAAACAATAGAATGGTTAAATAAATCATGCTAAGGAACATTACGAAACATCATTTTTTGAAGAATATTTGTGATACTGAGCTCATAATGCTCAGTATTGTGAGCATCAGTATTTTGATATAATCTGAGCTTTTGATATAATCTGAGCTTTTGAAAAAAGAAATACACACATATGTACCATCAAATATTTTCTTAAAATACTGAAAGGAAATACAACATTTTACATTGATTATCTCAGAGGGGTATATTTGGGAAATTTTTTTTCTTTGTGTTTTATATGTTTTTCAAGCTTTCTCTAATGAGCATATGATAATCCTAAAAGACATGAATAAACACTACTATACAATAAATAAAAGGTTAAGCTTCAGATTTCCCATCAAGGGAATATGGAAAGAGCTAAAAAGAATAATGACCAAATAGGAGAAATAAACATCACTGCTTCCTCCTTCAGGGAAGAGAAATTAGGAATTGAGCAGAGCAGATGTGCAGAAGTAATCTGTATGAGCAACAAGACTTTTAGCCTACCTTCTGGTCCTCAAATAGATAGCATATAATTCTCTAAATCCTTTTATTCCAAAAAGGAAGCACTTATACCTACCCAGTCTGCTCAGACAGTCTTAAATTCTGACTTCATAATTTGGGAATCCAGACTGTCCACACCTCAATTTGTTTATATTGAACTGAAATGTATGTAGCCACCAAAATGATTGATCATTTTTCATCATTCAAGACATCATTCAAGTCTCCTCCCATTTTAACAAGGTTGGTACCTGGCTTGAACAAGGCCCACGTGCGGTCCTTCTGTTCCAATTCCTAACATTAGAGCCACTTTCCCAACAAAATTCTTCTGTAGATTAAATCGGCGTTGCCCGATATTAAAACTTCCATCGATCAGAAATGCAATGTCTGCTTTACAGTCTGTGAACACCCAAACAAGTCTTTCCATTAGCAGTTTCAAGAGAAGGGAGGGAGAGAGAGAAAATATTCCCAAATGGATATCCGGACTCTTACCCTTATTGCCAGTTTTCTTCTCCGGTGTTTTCTTTAGTCGTTTACCTGAAACAAAAAAAAAGCACCTGGCATTAGCAAAAGGAAGACAGTTCCATAGAAAGAGACCCACAAGGGAAAAGCTCATGATAAGGAGCATCATTCTTGAAAATACTTTTTTTAAAAATTAATTTCCTCATGATTTTCTGGACTAGGGAAGCAATGCCCCAACAAAAAAACAAGTCAGGACTGTAGTAGACCTTCATATTTAATATGCCTCCAATCCAGGACTTTGATATCCCAAACCCACAGATGAGGTCGGATTGGAAACTCAGAGTTAGATTCTAATGTTCTTCATTTCCTTGACTTTAAAATTGCCACAGTCTTAGAAAGGGAGATCCCTGGCTATTTCTCAAATAGACACGCACTCATTTCTTTTATTCATATGACAAATGGAACTAGAAGTTCATGGTACTTTTACTTAGACCAGTTTCTAGGCATAGTTTATCAAATCAGGGAGAAATGGTAGGACTTCAAGAGAATGTCTAGCAGTAGAGTTTATAAATGAAAATAAAAGAAGGATAAGTAATTTGAAATATAAAATTGAAAGTTTCCCTATGCAATATACCAGTAAAGGTATTTGCTTTGTGTTTCAATATTTTAAAAAAGGAAAGCTTTTATCAATAACACTTATTTATAACTTCCTAATGCTGTGCCAGGCAACTAGGAGATAGGTTCCATATTTCATACCTATTGCTGGACGTGCTGTGGACACTGCTTGTCCTGTGGCTTCCTGGGTACCACTTTTGCCTTCTGTTAAAATAAAGAGAAGACTATTTTTTCCTCTTCCTTCCTTACCATCAAAGCATAATGAATCTAATGTAGGGTTCTATAGGATGATAAATGTAATAGAGTGATGGCAATTGCAAGAGTAATTGCTGCATGCTAGTTTCAAAGAACCAAAATGGATTCTCATCTATTGTATCGTATTTTTAAAAGATCACCATAAAATGAGTTCACATTCATTCACCTGTTTTTTTGAGTTAGGGTTATTTGGTAAATGTCAGGGCATTCTGATTGCAGGCAATTCAATTTTCTATTGCCATCTTCTGACAGCAAGATAATTTTCCTCCCATTTACCCAAGTTTGGCTTGAGTGTGTCCTTAACCCTTCAGATCCCCTGACTCTAACCCACAGTTGACCCTTCCAGTCTTGATCACAAGTTTTTCCATCAGAGTCAAAGAGGTTGAGCTGAGAAAAGCAGAAAACTTTTTGGGGGGTTGGGGAGACAATATTTACACAAAAGTAAGAACACTTTAATTGTACCTACTTGTCACTGTGAAAGAAGCAGACCATCTGGAAAGCGTCTGAGACTGGATGCCATTAGCAACTACTGAGGAATAGTTTTCTCGACCTGGTAGGCTATAGATTCTTACGGGTCCCCCTGAGTTGCTGATTACCCCCCTGCAACACAAGAATAACAGCTGAGACTCTATCCACACTTTTTCAGGGGCATTTGACTGACTTATATTGCCATACTGCACCTATTATTCTGATTAATCAAGAAAATAGTTCAGCAGGGAAGCCATCTAAGGATGCTGTCAACCTTTTTAAAAACTTGCTTACCCAGGTACAAAATCCACCTAGGGAAATGGTTTTGTGCTGTGAAACTTCTTAAGTGTTAATAAGGACACACTTGCAGTTTCCTGTTCCCTACAGCTCAGAGGATCAGAGTTAAGAGTGCCAAACAGTCTTCTAAAATACCCTAACTACATGTCCTTGAACTTCATTTTTTTTTTTAAAAAGTGTCATACTGGCCATTCTCTCACAGGACAGAAGAGTGGTGATGAATATGGGCTCTGGAGGCAGACCTGGGCTTTCAGTCCCAGCTCTGGCACTTGCTAACAGTGGTGGCCTTGGGCAAGATACTTGACAACTCTCTGAATTCAGTTTCCTCATCTGTAAAATGGGGTAAAATTGTACCTACCTTGTACAGCTGTAGAGTCGTCGTGGAAGTTAAAATAATGGCTGTCATACAGTAAAAACTCAGTAATATAGTACATGATTAAGAATGTTTTTAGAATCACAGGACTCTAGCTATCCAGAAATAATGCAATTTGCCTTTAGTCAGAAAGCTTCCCTTATGTAGTTGGTGACTCAAGGATATCCAGGAAAACCTTAAAAATGTATCCATCTTCTATGGCCAAAATTGGTACCAAAAGAAAGAAAAGGTGGGAGGGGGCGTCCAGATGGCTAAAGAGAAAGGGAAATAATCACACTTGCATTTCTCTCCCCTTGGCATGTTGGAGCTTACCTGTGGATGGCGGCACCACATATGCTTGATACAGAAGCATATACTATGTTCCCAAACACGGAGAATTCCTCCAGAGGGCAACCGCCTGGACAGAGCACATCTGCTTTTTCTTTCCTGATGTCCAGGCCTCTGGTAAAGCATGTGATAGCGATGGGAACTGAAGAGAAAGGAGAGACGTAAAAACCATTCTTAGGACATTTAGGGAAGTGGTGGTGGTGGGGGAACTAGAATATGAGATTGAAATTTTACTTCCCTAATTTCTATACTTCTTGTTAAGAATATTGATGTAGGTACTGTTCCCCACCATTCCAGATTTTAGCAAGCCAAAAATCAGTTTTCCAATTTAATCTAGTTCTCAGACATTGTAAAGTCTAATGGGAGAATTTTAGTTCTTATCAGTTTGGAGATGCATAATTGGAAATATATCAGAATTAGAAAATAACATTAGTCACTGACCATTTATTAAATTCATTCTAGAAATATAAGAACCTCAACTCTGATTACAACTGTGTACATAGTTGCCTGAGGTGAAGATATTAAATCTGGGTTGAACGTCTGAGGAACATTTTTATAGAAACATGCACAAATCTAAGTCATCCGTTGCTTCTGAGGGCCATTTATATCAGTTTTGTTCAAATGCAGCGCATTAAAATTATATTTTAATTTAAGCAAACCAGTAAAAAGGTGCTTCACTTTACAGAACATCATTTAGCTCAATCATTCATTTTTCAGCTGAAGTAATTAAAGCCATGGGGTTATTTTGCCCAAGGTCACACAGCCCAAGGAAAATTCTGTAACTCCTGCAGGACAGGAAACAGAGAAGTTAGTCCGTTCAGAATGGAGCATTTTAATCTGAATTGAACCTGCTTATTTCCGCTCCAGATCTGTCCAGAGAGATATATCAGGCAGTGAATGCAGTTTTAGAAAGCACTGTTAATACTCTCAAGTTTTACATGGTCAACCCAACTAATAATCATAGTTTTTACTACAAAAGATGTTAGAGACAAGCCCTTGACAACATGTAACAAGATAACTTAATACAACATATTAATTCATCAATTTACTGTGACTATTAAATTGAGGATAATGTTTTTAAATACTATTTTCCAAACACTGGAAATTGTGGTTATCCAAACCTTTTTGAAACAGATGTTTTCCAAACGTTTTTGAAACAGATGTTAATTATTAAAAAAAATTTTTTTTTCTTTTTCCAAGACAGTAGTGCTGTCTGGTCATACTGCCCCACTGAGAAGCCTGCCTCTAGCAAGGACCCTCTTCTAAGAGCCCTCTGTGCCCAGCCCTGGACTGTACACCTCCATGGAAAGGAAGGCAGGACGCCATGAAAGGTACAATGCTGATTCCTTAGCTCTGAAACACTCTAGATTGCTGGGCAAGTTAAAATCCTTACCAAGAACAGTAGCCTCATACCTATGAGCTTCATACCTGTTAGCAAACAGCCTTAATTTTCCTCCCATTTTCAAGGCACCAGAGGCTCTGCCTTTAGCTGCCAACACTGACTTTAGTGTGTGTTTGTGTGAGGGGGCACTGAATACAGCCCTCTGCAATACTTACCTTCCTTTCTCCTTTCAAGAAAAATAAAGGATAGATTTTGAAAAAGAGTTTGATTTTTATGTTGTATAAAACACACCGAACCACACACCCTTACTCGGACTTCTACGTGTGGAACACACTCCTTTTAGACTCTCTCGAATATGAAATGGGCCCGTAAATGCTGCCTTTTTTTTTTTTTTTTTTTTTTATAGGGGTCATTCCTGGAAACACAGCGAGGGGGTCAAACAAGATGGGACAACGACGTAAGCCTCTCTTTCACTCCCGAAGCCTTTCTCTGTCTCTCTGACAGTCTGAAGGTCTCTCCCTGACCCCAAACTCCGCGGAACACCCGGGACTACGGCGCTCCTCAGTGGGGCTCAACGAACACCCCCCACTTCTGCTGCCGTTGTTCGGCTTGCTGGGGGGAGAGGAAGCTCCGGGGTTGTGGGTGTGGATGGGGGGAGGCTTCCTTCTCCGCACCTTGTGAAGAACGTCCCCATCGGACCCCAGGAGCCCCTTCCCGAGAGAGAAATGGGTAAGCCGGAGTAGATGGGCTGTAGGTATGAATGGGGTGCGCCAGGCAGCAGCTCCAACCTTCGCACCCTTATAGCTCCAGCCCCCGGCCAAGGCCCAGGGGCTCCATCTGAGTGCGTTCCTACGCGCTGGCCCGCAGCCCCTCGCAACCCCCGGACAGAGCCCTGCTCCCGGACCCGGGAACCCGCAACTCACCGGCTCCCTCGCTGCCCGCGGTCTGTGGCAGCAGCAGCAAAAGACAGACACCTGCGAAGAGAGGACAGCTCGAGGGCTGGTTCCAGCCTCCACCTCCACCTTGCTTGGTGCGAGGGGAAGAGGGCGGTGAGGGGCGCGTACCCACCAAGGCAGAGAATCGGGATCCAGGCTGCAGACATGGTAGCCTAGGGGCTGCTCGGACCTGGGAGGGAGGGAGAATGCAAGGGAGGCTCCCCGAGAACGGAGATCCCTACGTCCCCACCACACCGCGCCCGCCCCCCGCCCCCTCAGGGATCCCGCACCCCTCGGAAACCCAGGGGCGGCCGAGGAGAGGAGGAGACCGAAGAGGCCGCTGCCCGGGAGCTCGTGCCACTCTCAGTCTGGAGGCGACGCTCCGGCTGCAAATCAAGCCAAACCCAGAGTCGAGGTGCAACCCCGGACCAGGAGGAGGGTGCACCCTGAAGACAGACAGACAAGCTGGGAGCGACAAAGGGGAGACACGAACAGGCAGGCGTCAGGGACCCGCACGCCTGCGCCGGACGCCGGGGGCTCTGCACCTGAGTCGAATCCGCCCGGCTGCGCCCGAGTGCGGAAAGCGCGGCTCCCACGGCCGCTATAAAGGCTGGGCCGCGCGCATGAGCACTGTGCGGGGGGCGCGCGCGGAGAGGGGGCTGGGAGCTGGTCCCCCGGGACCAGGCGGCGGCCGTCCAGCTCCGCCCTCACCCCCTCTCCGTCCCGGGGTGAGGCCGCGCCGAGGCGCCACCCCCGCGGCGCGGGACTCGGCCACCTGGATGCCGCGTCCGTCCCCGGGGGAGACGCGAAAGCCCGGGGGAGGGCCGGGGACCTCGCCGGCCCCGGCGTCAGGGGAGCCGGGACGAGTATAGGGCGGCGGCGGGAGCGCGCGGGGAGGTTGCCCGATGTGCGGCGACCGGGCGTGGCTGCCCGAGGGGGCCGGCCTCACCCGGGCTGGGGAGTGGTGGTTCCCCGCGCACAGTCCCCGCGGCGGGAGCTGCGGCGCCGGGAACGCAGGGCCCCGGAGAGCTACCAGGTACACGCGGCCTCAGAACAAACTTCCCATATCTGTGCTCCCGTTGAAACAAAGTTCGTACTTCTGAAGTCACGCCAACCTGGGTTGGATAAACGCATGCCCTGTATTTGTTAGAAACCCCATCAGCGGACTGGTTTTTCTTCGGATTTTAGGGATCCAGCCTTCCGACTTTGTTTCTGCCACGGTCGGATTTTCCCCGGGGGCTCCATTTACTGTCATGGGTAGGACCACGCTTGGGAGGTGGCCCGGACCCTTCTTTACATTTGCCTTTTCTTCTTTTCTAGATCAGGAAGGATTTATGACTGCCTTTCCAAACTCCCAGACCTGGTGTCTGTTGGGATTGCACAGATCTCAGATGTGGTAATATGCTCTTCCACCCCTCTCTTTCTCTCTCATCCTGGTAACTTTTCACATGAGGAAACGGGAGAAAGCAGAATTCACGTGGAGTTTAAAGTGACACAGGACCTGCAAGGCAGCTGAGGAACCACCCCCAGACGCAGGAGAGGGGGCACGATTTCGTTTTTTAAAAGTTTTATTTAGTCCAAAGAATAGGATTTTAGTTAGGTCTAAAGAATAACCAATAATTTATATACCGTAAAATCCATCCCTTTTCGGTGATTTCCACGATTTTTAGTAAGTATACAGAGTTACGCAGCCATCACCACAATCCAATTTTAGGACACTTCCAGCACCCCCAAAAGGATCCCTTCTGGCCATTGGCAGCCAATCCCTTTTCCCGCCCTCAGCCCTAGGCAACACCAATGTAATTCCCGTCTCCAAAGGTTTGTTTTTTATGGATATTTCATATAAATGGAATGATACAATATGTGGCTTCTTTTACTGAGCATAATGTTTTTAAGTTTCATTCATGTTGTAACATGAATGAGTTCTTCCTTCCTTTTTATTGCTGAATAGTATTCCTATACGTTTTATGTTAGGAAGGAAACATACCACCACCACCACCTGGAAGCCAAATGTGGTAGTGGTTTTACAACTATCCTTTCAATCTGGAATGAGTCAGTATTGCACCAGGCAGCTGCGGAGGGGCGGGCCGGCGGTGTTGATTTCATTCCCTTTACTATCTGAATGTCTTTTGGAGAGAAAGAGACTGAATAACATTTGTGGACCAGGAGGTTTTTGATTCTTATTTTCATGGCTGCCTTAAAGATTTAATCCCTCTCATGGTAGAGAGAGTTGCCCTTTTCTTAGAAACCCAGCAATGTAGCCACCACTCCTGATATTTTCCTTGGGAGAAATGTTAGGCCTTCAGGACCGTTAAAGCTGTCTTTATTATTATTGCTTGCTGCGTGTCCTCAGTCAGGTTTGGATAACCTCCTCCAGTTAGGCTGGGCAAATTGTAGTGATGCTATATAATTAGGGAGAGTTCACCTCCAGGAAAAAGACTAGCACTCCACAGCTCAACCCAAATGGCTAAAAGGTGCTGCTCTTCAGAACTCCCACAAGGCTCAGCCCTCCTGTGATGTAATTTCACCGAGCCATTTAGCACAGCCAGAACTATGCAGCTATTTCCATCATTGACCCTGAGTCTGTGACTATTAAAAAATAAAGGAAATACCTCACTGAGTTTCATTGGTTGTTTACCCAAAGATACAGTTTAATTATTTTGTTTTGAAACATTTAAGAGAAGTTAGTCTTTATTTTTCTAGTTTGAAAGACTAACCATGTGGATTGGGGATGAGATTTCTCATTCTCACTTAGTTTGTATCTCAGGCTCACCATAAGCATATTGAGAAAAAAAATATCTGAACTTAAGTGGTAGTTGCTTCTGCTGTGGAAACATCTGAAGAAGAGACGGAAAGTCAAATAAATCTGGGTACGATTGACTTAAAAAGACAAATTGTTAAAATTATAGTTTTGTATTCAACTGGGTAACATTTCAGGGTATTGTACTTCTAGGATGCCTAGTTAGTTTATCCTGCTTTATATAAGAGTATTTGATACTCAAATTTTAGACTAACTCTCTGTAGAGCGGTGGATTCCTAACTGGGCTGCACAATGGAATCACCTGGGGAGCTTTAAAAAGCACTGAACCCTGGGCTTCCCCGGTGGTGCAGTGGTTGAGAGTCCGCCTGCCGATGCAGGGGACATGGGTTCGTGCCCCGGTCTGGGAAGATCCCACATGCTGCGGAGCGGCTGGGCCCATGAGCTATGGCCGCTGAGGCTGCGCGTCTGGAGCCTGTGCTCCACAAGGGGAGAGGCCACAACAGTGAGAGGCCCGTGTACCACAAAAAAAAAAAAAAAAAAAAAAAGTACTGAATCCTGAGTCCCACCCCAGAGATTCTAATGTAATTGGTCTGGGTCAGGGCCAGGGCGTTAGAATTTTTTAAAGCTCTCCAGGTGATTCTAATGTATTGCCCAGAGGGCCTAATACTTAGGTCAATGTTAGAGGTTAAACGAATAATTCTAATTTTTCATTCTTCTTTCATTATCTTTTCATTAAAATTCCACCTTAAATGTGCCTACTGCGTTCCCCTGTTAAAACATGGAAGCATCTTCTGGCCTGATGGCTCTTTGAAAACGATCCTTAACAGAAAGATTGTAAACTCATTTTCAAAAGCAATTTTCCCTGAGTGTAGTGTCTGATCACATTTCTAACTTTGTGCAGAATGGGCTGGCATTGGGAAGGGAGTGGGCTGCCTCTCAAACTGATACCCTAGGTGGCATCTTCAAGCTTTAGGATGAGGCTGAAAAGAGTTTCTCGAGAATAGCCGGGTTCTCTGAGTGGACTTGACTCATTGTCTACATAGATAACCTCTAGTTTATGGGTCCTCTCTCTTCTGTTTTTATCTAGGTATGAATCTGGTGTTACCCAGAAGTTTTTATGTTTTTGGTATTTTGTTTTTATTTTTTAAAGGAATGTCAGTCCTGTCCCACGCCCTATACCTTTTAACCTCCCCTGCAAACTGTTACTTAGCTAATGCAGTGCATAGTGATTTGATTTTATTTTGGTTATGGTGATCTTAAAGTGAGTTTGTTCCCTTTTAGGAAGTGTATGTTTGTCCTGCAGTATCCCATAAGTCTCTATGGTTAGTTATAGAGCATTAGCAGTTTGTAAACTCCTATCACCTAACTCCTAACAGTTTGTAAACTCCTATCACCTATCACCTAACAGTTTGTAAACTCCTATCACCTAACTCCACATTGATATTTATTTTGTATCCATTTTTCCTGCTCGATTCCTTTCCATTGTTCACATGTGATACTAAGCAAGTATGTACATCTAGCCTTTCAGTTTTTGATGATTTCTAGCAATAGAATAAATGTTCACAGCCTCTGAGGAGTGAATATTAAAAAGTTGACTCAGAGATAGCCTTATGACCACAAGCAATCACTTCCTTTTTCTGGGCCTTAGTTGCCTTTCCTATAAAGTCAAGGAGACTAGACCAAGTGATTGGAAGGGACCTCTGACTGGCTGAATTCTGTGGCTGGGCAGTTGCTCCCTGGGCACATATAGCCTTCAAGGGCTGTGCTGTTTCTGGGGTTTGGAAACCTTAGGAAACACTGGCTGTGCCAACTACCTCCCAGCACTCATCCCTTCTTATGGAAGGTCTCTTGCTATTCACCTCTCACTGCTAAACCGTGGCCTGGATCATGTTTGCCCCTTATTTACCAAGAAGTAATGGAGGTCACGTTGCCACCGAATGCCACCGGAATGCCTTCCTAAGCGAGGAAAGCTGTGACAGGGAACATATATTCATTGTATAGGCCCAGCACACGTCCCATGCAAGCTCCTGAAGGTGAAGGATCTTTCTCTCATGTTCATCACTGCACCTCTAGTCCCCAGTGAAGTGTCTAGCACATAATAGGTACTCAAGAAATATTTGTTAAATGAATGAGTCAATCCCATTGTCTTGTCATTTGCTATATTGTTTTTTAAAAAGTTAACTTTTGAACAGTTTTAGGTTTATAGAAACATCGATTAGACTAGAGTTCCCATATACCCCACATCCAGTTTCCCCTGTTAACATCTTACATTAGTATGGCACAGTTGTCACAATTCATGAACCAATACTGACACATTTTTTAAAATAAATTTATTTATTTATTTTTGGCTGCATTGGGTCTTCGTTGCAGTGCACGGGCTTCTCATTGCGGTGGCTGCTCTCGTTGAGGAGCAGGGGCTCTAGGCACACAGGCTTCAGTATTTGTGGCGTGTGAGTTCAGTAGTTGTGACGCACAGGCTTAGTTGCTCCATGGCATGTGGGATCTTCGCAGACCAGGGATCAAACCTGTGTCCCCTGCACTGGCAGGCAGATTCTTAGCCACTGCACCACCAGGGAAGTCCCAATACTGACACATTAACTAAAGTCCATATTTTCCGCAGATTTCCTTAGTGTTTACCTAATACCCTTTTTCTCTTCCAGGATCCTATCCAGGATACTGCATAACATTTAGTCAGCATGTCTTCTTAGACTCC